GCCGGTTAAGCACCTGACTTTAGCTCACGTTGTGATCTCAGGGTCCAGGAATGGAGCTCCAAGATGAGCTCCCTGCTCAGCGGGGAATCTACTTCTGCCTCTGCCCCTCCCCTCTCTTGTGTGTGTCCTCTTTCTCTCTCTCAAATAAATGAAATCTTAAAAAAAAAAAAAAGAAAAAAAAGAAAAAAAAGGAGAGAAAAGCTTTCTCTTAAAGAAAACAAAACAAGGGCAGCCCTGGTGGCCCAGCAGTTTAGCACCGCCTTCGCCTTCAGCCCCCCGTGTGACCCAGATTCCTGGGATGGAGTCCCACATCTGGCTTCCCGCATGGAGCCCGCTTCTCTGCCTCTCTCTCTCTCTGTCTCCCTCTGTGTTTCATGAATAAATAAAATCTTTTAAAAAGTGGCTGAAATGTTAAATTTATATTTTATAGCTGACCCATAAGAAAGTGAAAACAAATTCATAGAGCCTCGGTGACTTGGCGGTTAAGTGCCTGCCTTTGGCCCAGGGTGTGATCCTGGGGTCCCGGGATTGAGTCCCACATCAGGCTACCTACAGGGAACCTGCTTCTCCCTCTGCCAATGTTTCTGCCTCTCTCTGTGTGTCTTTCAAAAATAAATAAATAAAATTTAAAAAAATTCATAGAGCCCTACAATATAGGGTGTACTTTGATTTAGGGTGTACTTTAATGTAAACTTCAGGCTTTAGTTATTACTAATGTTTCAATATTCATACACCAGTTGCAACAAGTGATACAAATGTGAGTATCAACCCCATGAAAGTGTGCATGGGGGTAGGGAATATGTGGCAGTTTTCTGTACTTTCCACTCAATTTTTCTTTTTATTTTTCTTTTTTCCACTTGATTTTTCTATAAAGCTAAGACTATTGTTAAAAATAAAATCTGGGGGCAGCTCGGGTGGCTCAGCGGTTTAGCACCTCCTTCAGCCCAGGGCGTGATCCTGGATACCCGGGATCGAGTCCTGCATCGGGTTTCCTGCATGGGGCCTGCTTCTCCCTCTACCTGTCTCTCTGCCTCTCTCTCTTTCTCTCATGAATAAATAAATAAATAAAATATTTTTAAAAAATCAAATCAAATCAAATCTGGGGGTTCCTTGGTGGCTCAGTCGGTTAGGCATCTGCCTTCAGCTCAGGTCATGATCCCAGGGTCCTAGATGCAGCCAGTCTCTGGACTCTCTGCTAAGCGGGGAGCCTGCTTCTCCTTCCCCTCTGCCTCTCCCCCTGCTGGTGTGCTCTTCCTCTCTCTTTCTATCTCAAATAAATACAATCTTTTAAATAATAAATAAAAAATAAAATCTGTTAATTAACAAAATATCCGTGACCAAAAAAAGAGTACACACAGCATGATTTCATTTATAGAAAGAACAAAAACAGACCCAAGTAATGTACACTATTAGAAGTTGGGGTTGTAGTTACCCTTGGGTAACTAGGGGTTACCCAAGGGGGTTCTAGGGTGCTGGTCATGTTCTTTCTCTTGATCTGAGGGTTGGTTATGTGGCTTTGTTAAATCTATAAAAATTCAAGTTGTACGTGACAGCTGTGCTTTTCTGCATGGTTCTTATCATTGAATAAACGTTTTAAGATTTTTATTAAAAATAAAAAGATAAGTAGAAGTTCAAAAACTTTATGTAGATACTCCATCCTCAAGGAAGAGGAGCAGATGTCCCCTCTCCATAGGTGTGGGCCATTCACAGTGACTTCTTCCAAGGAGCACAGTATGGTAAGGAGTGGAAAGAATGACTCACCACGAAGAAACTTGACAAACACTACTTCAACAGGTTGATTAAGGCCAACATCAACCATCCTGAGTCAGGCTGACAATGTCTAGCCTTGACTTGATGTGACTAAGATGGCACTTTACTTGTATGGTCTTACTGCCAATAACCCATAACCCCAGCCTCAACGTAAGAGAAGCAGACAGTTTCCAGTACTGGGCCTCCTGTGGAATACCAGGCCAGTATTCCTGAAAACTGTCAAGGTCATCAAAAACAAAGATAGTCAGAAACGTCACAGCCAAGGGGAGCTTAACGACACATGGTCACTCAGTATAATGTGGTGTCTTCCTCGATGGGATCCTGGAACAGGAGAGGACATCAGGCTAAAACTAAGGAGATTGAATAAAGCACGACTTTAGTTCATCAAGGAGTGAGAGCCAGAGAGGGGGAGAGGGAGAGGGAGATGGGGTGAGGGAGGGAGGAAGGCAGGGAGGGAGGAAGGCAGGGAGGGAGGTGGGGAGGGAGACGCAGGCAGACCACGAGCGGTGTTCCATAAAACTCAGCCTCGGCTCACCCCTGATCTTTTTATTGCGTGAGCGGAACCTAGTAGAGACACAGACAGAAGACTGTCATCCTTTCTCTCAGCCGCGGTCCTCAAACCTGCTCGGCGGCTCCTCCAGACTCCCCAGCCCTGGCCTTGACTGCGGCCCAGATTGAGCACACAGCTTTCTCTTTTTCAGGAATGAGAGCGCCCAACCCGGTCTAAATCTAAATTTGCTCCTCACATCCAATCTAGGGCGTGTTCTCAGCCTTCTGGGGACCCGACCGGACTCCACGGGGAGGGAAGTCTGCTCTGCTTCTGTGCTCCTTCCTCCCCGGCTCCCCACCTTGCAGGCCTCTCCACCTGGATGGGTGCAGGGGGAGGGTGCTGGAGGAGACACCAATCTCTATCCGGCTGGTGCTGTGTATCTTCTCCCTGGGTGAAGGGTGCCCTTACAGGGGATCCCTGGGTGGCGCAGGGGTTTGGCACCTGCCTTTAACCCGGGTCGTGATCTTGGAGACCCGGGATCGAATCCCATGTCGGGCTCTCTGCATGGAGCCTGCTTCTCCCTCTGTCTGTGTCTCTGCCTCTCTGTCTCTCTCTCTCTGTGACTATCATGAATAAATAAATAAAATCTTAAAAAAAAAAAGGGTGCCCTTACGGAGCAGGTGTTCCCCTGCGGGCTTTTCATCAAGTGCCTTAGGGTCCCCGCTGTCCTGCACATCACAGAGTTCCTAAGTGGCTCCTGGACTCTGGCTGACCTCCTGCCCCCCCAGCTCACCCCCACCCTGTGGCTTCGAGGGTCTCCTCTCCTCTGCAGTGAGCCCCCACACGCGCAGCTTGGGTCCAGTGCCTTCAGGATGCCTACCTGGCTCTCGGGAGACTCATATCCTCGTATTGCACCCCACTCTGTCATGCAGGCTGCCCTCTGCTGCCCCCACCATCACAGCTGCTCCCCCCCAGTCCAGGGATACATTTCAAGCAGGTATGCAGCGTGCTGGTCCAGAGGACAGTCGTCGTCTTCTTCTTCTTCTTCTTCTTCTTCTTCTTCTTCTTCTTCTTTTTAAAGATCTTATTTATTTATTCATGGGAGACACACAAAGAGAGAGGCAGAGACACTGGCCAAGGTTGAAGCAGGCTCCATGCAGGGAGCCCGACGTGGTACTCGAACCTGGGGCTCCAGGATCATGCCCTGAGCCGAAAGCAGGTGCTCACTCTCCAAGCCACCCAGCGTCCCTCTAATTCCATCGCTAAACAGAATCATTTAGCAGTAAGTTGTAGAAATTGTGGCACCTCACCCCTGAATGCTCAACATTAGTCTCCTAGGATTTCCTACAATATCCTTCCACATAATTGCGGTGCTATGTTCATGACTAAGAAAATTCACATTAGGGGCACCTGGAGGCCCAGTCTGCCTTCTGCCCCCACTTGCCCCCCACAGTCAGCAGGGAGTCTGCTTCTCCCTCTCCCTCCGCCCCTCTCCCCACTTGTGAACTTGCGAGCTTGCTCTCAAATAAATAAAATCTTTAAAAAAAGAAAACTCACATTAATTTCATAATATTTCTAATCTCCTGTCCATGCTCATGTACCTCCAATTGTCCCAAAAATGTCTTTTGTAACTTTAAGAAGTTTTTAGGTCCAGGGTCCAATGAAATTTTACATATAGCATTTGGTTGTTTTGTCTCTTCACTCTTCAACCTAGAAAAGGACCTTTTTTTATTTTTTTAAGATTTTATTTATTTATTCATAGACACAGAGAGAGAGGCAGAGACACAGGCAGAGGGAGAAGCAGGCTCCATGCAGGGAGCCCGATGTGGGACTCCATCCCAGGTCTCCAGGATCACACCCCAGGCTGAAGGCGACGCCAAACTGCTGTGCCAGCAGGGCTGCCATAGAAAAGGACCTTTTAAAAAAAATTAAATTGACTGTTTTGAAGAATTCAAGCCCGTTTCCACGAGGAACAGCCCATAGCATGGATATTCTTCACTTGATTTTAAGTTTCTTATCATCTCTTACCAGGATAGAGGAGGGCAAAGGAGTTGCACTTTAGAATGCAGAGTCCTTATTGTCTCTTGTTTTTATTTATTTTTTTAAAAAGATTTTATGTATTTATTCATGAGAGACACACATACACAGAGAGGCAGAGACACAGGCAGAGGGAGAGCAGGCTCCCCGCAGGGAGCCAGATGTGGGGCTCCATCTCGGGACCCCAGGATCAGGCCCCGAGCCGGAGGCAGACGCTCAACTGCTGAGCCACCCAGGAGTCCCTGTCTCTTGTTTTAGATTAAGGACTTGGGCTGAAATTCAGAGATGGCCAGAACATGCCCATTCCCTACCTGGTTTTGCAGGGTGTTGGAGGGGTGCTACAGAGCATGCTTCCCAAGAGGAGCACATCCGCCTGGACAGAGGAGGGTCCCTTCTCATGGGTGCAGTGAGAAAGCAACCTGGAACAACCCAGGAGACTTGTTTTCAGCACCTTGTCCTGCCCTTGAGAGAAATAAGTAGGCTGATCCTGGATCCTGAGAAGAGCTGGATGTTCTTCCCTAGCAACATGGCATCTCTTCCTGAAGACCTGCCCTGGGTAGTAGATGGAGCCAAGAGAACATGGCCCAAGGCCAAGGGCTGAGCCTTCCAGCGTCATTTGGTAACTTTGATATCAGGTGGCCAGGATGGCTGAGCCAATCTGAGAGAGGGTGGTATTTATAAAAGGCCTCCTCCCCCGGGGGCCAGAAGCCCTGTACCAGCCTCCACAATCCTACTGATCTCAAGCTCCTACCTGTACAGGTACGTTTCTTGAGCTCATTTTCCAGTCCCTGGAAACTCTACCATATATCCAGGGAACAGTGGAGATGGAGGAATGAAAGGACCTGAGGTTAGGTGTAGGAGGCCTGAGTTCAAGGCCTCCCTGCTCAGCTCCAGACCTCAGTTTCTCCATTTTGAAATTAGTGGCTTGGACTGGGCTATCTCTAAGGGCCCTTGGTGTGATTCAAATGGAGAAATGGGAGGGATCCCCACCTGGACGAGGGTAGCCGTGGCTCTGGCTGCAGCCCAACCTCAGGCTCTGAGATTATGAGGGGATAGGGACTCACCCTCAGAGGAGGTGCTCTTCTGGGGTGTGGTAAAGAATGCCTCGGGCAAGGGGCATCACCAGTCATTTGCATCGGCCTGGGATGTTGGCCCCCTCCGTGTTGCTGGGGGGGGGCAGCTCCCTGTACCCTGGGTAGAAGGAGGTATTGGCAGGAAGCCAGTATTGACAGGGACTGCTTGGCATGATGTCCAGCATGACCTTGAGCTGGGGCCTGGTAAGGGGGCTTCCCTGTTTTCTAGTGTCAGTTGCCTCCACTCCAGACTGAGAACTGGAACCTGAGGTGATGGGCAGAGGGGAGGGTCAAAGTTAGAAGTGCAAACCCTCAGGTTGGGAATTTTGAGGCTCCTTTCCAGTCCTGAGATTCTGTGATGCTCTAACGGTGAGCTCCGGGCACACAGGACCCAGGGCGGATGTATCTTAGTCTTTCTGACGTCCAGCGTGGAGCCAAGCACTGAACAGGTACCAGTGTGGATTGACTGAGTGAGTGAATGAATGAATGATTGGCTGCATCTTGACACTTGGCTTGGCTCCTCCTTCTTCTTCCCCAGTAGTTGATACAGATGGCATTGTCCCAGATGGCCACAGAGCTTCTCCTGGCCTCCACCATCTTCTGCTTGGTACTCTGGGCGGTCAAGGCCTGGCAGCCTCGGCTTGCCAAAGGCCTGAAGAGTCCACCGGGGCCCTGGGGCTGGCCCCTGCTCGGGAACGTGCTGACCTTGGGCAAGAGCCCCCACCTGGCGCTGTCCAGGCTGAGCCAGCGTTATGGGGACGTGCTGCAGATCCGCATCGGCTCCACCCCCGTGCTGGTGCTCAGTGGCCTGGACACCATCCGGCAGGCCCTGGTGCGCCAGGGGGATGATTTCAAGGGCCGACCCGACCTCTACAGCTTCTCTCTGATTACCGACGGCCAAAGCATGTCCTTCAGCCCAGACTCCGGACCAGTGTGGGCTGCGCGCAGGCGCCTGGCCCAGAACGCGCTCAACACCTTCTCCATTGCCTCCGACCCGGCTTCCTCGTGCTCTTGCTACCTGGAAGAGCATGTGAGCAAGGAGGCCGAGGCCCTTCTCAGCAGGCTGCAGGAGCAGATGGCAGAGGTCGGGCGCTTTGATCCCTACAGCCAAGTGCTGCTGTCAGTGGCCAATGTCATTGGTGCAATGTGCTTTGGGCACCACTTCTCTCAGAGAAGTGAGGAAATGCTCCCCCTTCTAATGAACTCCAGTGATTTTGTGGAGACCGTCTCCTCCGGGAACCCGGTGGACTTTTTCCCCATTCTCCAATATATACCCAACTCAGCCCTGCTGAGATTCAAGAACTTCAACCAGACGTTCGTGCAGTCCCTGCAGAAAATTGTCCAGGAACACTATCAAGACTTTGATGAGGTGAGCCCAGGGTGCTGGTGGTGAGGGGGTACTCTGCAGAGCCTGGGTGTGGCCCCTCTCACCCAGCTTTGAGGTACACACATGGCTGATGTGCTGCCAAGGCCTAGGAAGGCTCTGGAACATCTGGGACCATTCCCTCTCCCTCCTGGGACTCAGATTCCTGATCCAATTGCCTCCGTCTTGGGGTTGCTCAAAGTCCCAGAGATATTTGGCTGTGAATGGGGCCCTGGCAAAGTCTGACAATGTGGGGGGCTGTTATCATGAGAAGGCTTTTGTTCTGCAGGAACCTGAGCCCTGACAGGGGCTAATCCATAGCTCAGGTGACACTTGGCTTCCAGTACTCTCCACAAGCTCTTCCTTTGAAATTGGACCCCTGGGGTTATTGGGAGGGAAGGTATCCAGGCTGCTACCAGCTCCTCCTGTAAGCCCAACCTACTGCCTGGAATCCAGGTGGCAGTGCCATATAGGGTACCGCAAGGTCCAACCTGGAAGTGCCATGGTGGCCGTAAGCTTGTGTCCCCACAGCGCAGTGTCCAGGACATCACAGGCGCCCTCTTGAAGCACAATGAGAAGAGCTCCAGGGCTAGTGGTGGCCACATCCCCCAAGAGAAGATCGTCAACATTATCAACGACATTTTTGGGGCCGGTAGGAACCAGACCCACGTCCCTTCCATCCATCCATGCCTGTTGTTCAACCACAGACTTGTCCGGCCCCTGAGTCCATCAGATAATTTGCCAACTATACACCAGATAGTGCAGGACACAGACATCTGGCCCATGTTCAGGGTTCTGAGTCCAGGTCATGCCAACAATTCCCAGTGGAAATTCAACTAAGTCCCTCTCTGTTCTGGGCCTCAGTTTCCCCACATGAACAATAAGGGGTTCTCATGTAATTCTGGCAGCTAATTATAAAACTAGGAGACCCAGTCTCTACTCTCCGGAAAATCATGGGGGGTGGAGGATGTACTTGGAAGGAGACAGAGAAAGCAATGCTTGGTACGTAAGTGCTGGATGCTTAGTAAATGTTGGTTTCTTGTTCTTGCCTTCCCCCTTCCTCACCTTGCATCATGCTGCCTAGGATTTGACACTGTCACAACGGCCATTTCCTGGAGTCTTATGTACCTTGTGGCAAACCCTGAGATACAGAGAAAGATCCAGAAGGAGTTGGGTATGCGGTAGAGATGCACAAGCTAAGAGAAGCTTGGGATCCCCAGGTTCTTTGTTCAATGACATATAGCTGTTGTGTGCCTACCATGTGTAAGACCTGGGCATACACTGGTGCCCACCCTTGCCTAGAACATGCTGGGGGTAGGGTGGTTACTGGGCCTTAGATATATAACAGACAGTACTATGTAATAGGGGACTTAGATACCATGGAGCAGTTGGGGCAGCCCTAAGCCCTGTTTGGTCTTCTGTGTTCTGCAGACACGGTGATTGGCAGGGCACGGCAGCCTCGCCTCTCTGACAGGCCCCAGCTGCCCTTAATGGAGGCCTTCATCCTGGAGATCTTCCGACACACCTCCTTTGTCCCCTTCACCATCCCCCACAGGTAAGGCCTGCTTCTTCTGCCTTGCCACCTTTGTAGCCTTCACCATGTTTCTTCCTCCCGTCTTCTAAGCCCTGGATCTGGCTCAGACCTTGGCCTCTCACTTCTGGCCACGTCACCAAGTTCTCCTCAGCCTCTAGGCTGCCGACAACCAATCCAACCATGATCAAACTACCCAGCTTTCAGGAGAAAGTCACACTCCTGATCTCAGCTCTCATTCACCTCTGGTCACATTCCTTTCCTGTAAGTACTCTCAATCCACCCGGGCTGGCCTCGCTGTACCTCCCCAGCATGATGCGGTCAACCTCCAATTTTGCTTATGCTGGACCTTCTGCCTGGAATGCCTTTTAACCTCTTCTCCCACCACCTGAATCTTACCCTTGCCCAAGGTCAATCCTGACACAAACTTCCCCTTCACTAGCAGGCTTTCTTGACTCATCCAGCTGGCATAGCTTCATTCTCTGATATATTGTAGGACTTTCAGCCATTTGTCCTTCATTATGTCCTGGGATTTTTTTTTAAATATTTATTTATTTAGGATAGACAGAGAGAGAGTGAGAGAGAGAGAGAGAGAGAGAGGCAGAGACACAGGAGGAGGGAGAAGCAGGCTCCATGCCGAAGCCCGACGCGGGACTCGATCCCTGGACTCCAGGTTCATGCCCCGGGCCAAAGGCAGGCGCCAAACCACTGAGCCACCCAGGGATCCCCTGTCCTGGGATTTTTTTTACATTTTTTTAAATTTTTATTTATTTATGATAGAGAGCGAGAGAGAGGCAGAGACACAGGCAGAGGGAGAAGCAGGCTCCATGCACCGGGAGCCTGATGTGGGACTCGATCCCGGGTCTCCAGGATCGCGCCCTGGGCCAAAGGCAGGTGCTAAACTGCTGCGCCACCCAGGGATCCCCTGTCCTGGGATTTTAACAACATCAAGAGACTTAGTGAACATTTACTCTTACCCGTATGTTGGTCTATTTATTCCCAGAGTAGAAGGTCTGACTCCTCAGTCAGGCTGGGAACTACCCAGGGATAGTCCAGACTGCCAGTTTCTTGGCTTCAGAGGATGGCCAAGTGCACAGCTGGACACAAACAAAGGTTTAGTGAACACTTGCTGAAGTTGAAGAACAGAAGCTGAGGAAGAGGAAGGATAGTTTCACCCCTTCTGTGCTCCTGATAGTCCCTCCCAGTGTAGGACACGGAGACTGTGGGGGCAAGCTATTGGGGTGGAAGAAAGAGCAAGTAGATCCCAGAGACACACCCCAGTGTTCCTGCCCTGAGCCTGACAGAACCCTCTTCCCTCCTCAGCACAACAAAGGACACGACACTAAAAGGCTTCTACATCCCCAAGGAACGCTGTGTCTTTGTAAACCAGTGGCAGGTCAATCATGACCAGTGAGTATACCTACCCCACTGAAAAATAGATGAGGCTCAGCAGTCAAGAAGGCTATTTGTCCCCCTGGGAACTAGGTATAATACAGGAATGGGGCTTCAATGGCTATATATATAGTATGTTCTTTTTAAAAAAAAATATTTTGCTTATTTATTTGAGAGAAAGCATGAGAGAGAGAGAGATCACAAGCAAGGAGAGGTAGAGAGAGAAGCAGACTCCTCGCTGATGTGGGCTCAATCTCAGGACCCTGGGATCATGACCTGAGCTGCAGGCAGGTGCCCTATGTAATGTGTTCTAAGTAACAAAATTGAGGTCCATATTTCTCAAACATTAGTGTACGTAGGAAATGACCAGAGGTTGGTTAGGTTAGGGTGCCTATCCCCTAAGATTCCACTTCGGTAGGTAAAGTGGAACATCTCAGGTGATTGTGATGTCAATGGTCTACCGACCTCTCTTTGGAAAATCCCACTCTAGCCTACAGGTAGGGGGACCATATAATTTACCATCCAAATTGAGGTACTTCTGAGGAAAAGGGATGCTGTCAACAGCTATTCCAAAACAATAAAGCATAAACCAGGAGGTACAGCTGATACCCCTTGTGTTCAGTAGGATGGAGATAATGTTTTCCTTCTTTTTTTTTTAAGATTTATTTATTTATTCATGAGAGACACACAGAGAGAGGCAGAGACACAAGCAGAGGGAGAAGCAGGCTCCCCACAGGGAGCCTGATGTGGGACTCGATCTCAGATCCTGTGATCATGCCCCGAGCCAAAGGCAGACACCCAACCGCTGAGCCACCAGGCATCCCATGTTTTCCTTCTCTTAATTTCTTTTAGTTGAACCATTATTTCTTTAAAATAACAATATGATAAAGCACCATTAACAGGGTCATTTTAGAGACAGCTTTGTAAAAGAAATAAGTTTGAAAGTATATCTCGGTTCCTCTCTCCACTCTCTTCTCATTACTCTTGATCTATTCTAACCCTTGTGCTATCAACAGAAGTCTTGCCCAGGCTTTTCCTCCTAGGGTCTCCCTAGCCCAGAAATCCCATCTCCTCTGTTCCTCTTGCAGACAGGTGTGGGGGGATCCATTTGCATTCCGGCCAGAGCGATTCCTCACTGCAGATGGCACCGCCATCAACAAGACCTTGAGTGAGAAGGTGATGCTCTTTGGCATGGGCAAGCGCCGGTGCATAGGAGAGGTCCTGGCCAAGTGGGAGATCTTCCTCTTCCTAGCCATCTTACTGCAGCAGCTGGAGTTCAGCGTGCCAGCAGGTGTGAAAGTAGACCTAACCCCCATCTATGGGCTGACCATGAAGCACACCCGCTGTGAGCATGTCCAGGCACGGCCACGCTTCTCCATCAAGTGAAGGCACCAGCATGCCAAGGCAGAGGGAGGGGAAGGATCACCCATGGGGCCTCAGCCCTTGTTTTTTTTCCTTCTTCTTAAATAAAAGTTTCATTGAGGTATAATACACACACCATACACCTCGTCTTCTTAATGTATACAATCCAATTGCTTTTAGTCTATTCACAGATCTTTGGGGGTTCCTGGCCCCAGTTTCAATATGGGGGTCCCTCCTCCCCACAAAACCAAACAGTTCTCAGACTCCAACAGGGTGTCCAAGAATTCAACTCGATTCTGACACCATCTACCAAGAGATAGCAAGCTTACACTTCACAGGTTAAGGGCTCAAACCTACAAGACTGCCCCCCACCCCTGACTTCAGTTGCCAGTCACAAGCCCCAAGCTGTTATCACCTGCGCTTCTGACCAATCAACTTCAGATTGGAGGTTCCAACGACCTCCTTCTTACGTTCTTTAATTTGCTAGAGTGGCTCACCGAACTCAAGGAAACACTTTTGTTTACCAGTTTATTAAAGGATATGACAAATGATATGAGTCAACAGCCAGATAAAGAGATACACAGGGCGAAACATGGGGAAGAAGGCACAGAGCTTCCGTGCTTCTCCAAGCACATCACTCTTGCCATTCTCCATGTGTTCACCAACCTGGAAGCTCTCAATCCCAATCCTTTTGGGATTTTATGGAGGCTTCATTGCATACTCAGGACTGTCTTTGGCCATTGGCTGATTGATCCTCCAGACCTTTACCCCTCCTTGGAAGTCAGGGAGAAGGACTGATCTAACATTCTAATCACATGGTTGGATCTCCTGGCAACCAGTTCCCACCCTTGAGTGCAGTTCAAAAGTTATCTATGTGAATATAACAAAAGACACTTTCATTAATCTCAACACCTAGGGAATTCCAAGGGTTTGGGGAGCAATGAGCCAGGATCTGTGGACAAAGACCAAATATATATGAGAAATATATTTTGGTCATCCGAGTGACCAAACCTACATTTCTTATAAATCACAATATCACAATAGAGTTGTACTACCACACCGTCACCAATTTGAGAACCTTCTCATAAAAAAAAAAGAACCTTCTCATCAACTGGAAAAGCAATCCCATTCCTGTTAGCAGTCCCTCCCCATTTCCCCTAACTCACCTCCATGTCCCACTGGTTCTAGGCAACTACTAATCTACTTTTTGTCTCTATAGATTTGCCTACTGTGGACATTTCAAACAAATGCAATTATATAACTAGTGGTCTTTTGTTACCAGCTTCTTCACTTAGTGTAATGTTTTCAAGGTTCATCTATGTTGCAGTGTACATCAGTAAGCCCGGGTTTCTTGAGTTGTAAGAGTAGGTCCAGGTTTGTTTCCTCAATCATCGATGGGCACATTATTCACTGCTTTCTTTTCTCTCCTTTCCTGCTTGACCCAAGTCTTTGAACACTTGAGGGGAACATGAAGGAAGGGACCAACCCTTGTGGGCCAAATCCCAATGGCTAGAGAATCCATCATGTCCCATCCTCAAAACATCTGACTTCTCACAAGGCCTTGATTTCTTCATGCACAGTGAAGGGAGGATAAGCTCCCCAGAAGCATTTGGGTTACCTGCAAAAGGCCCAGATCTCACCAAAGGACATTATCAAAAGAATGAAAACATAAGCCACAGAATAGGAGAAAATATTTGCAAATCATATATCTGATAATGGATTAATATCCAGAATATACAAAGAAAGCCTACAAATTGACAATAAGAAAACAACTCAATTAAAAAATGGGTCAAAGACTTGAACAGACTTCTCTAAAGAAGATATGCAAGAGGACAACAAGTACATGAAATGTTGCCAAACATCATTAGTTATTAGGGAAATGCAAGTCAAAACCACAGTGAGATACCACTTCATACATGCTAGAATGGTTATAATAATAATTTAAAATCTAGATGGCTATAAATATAACTTGTTATATATATATATACGTATATATATATATATATATATAATTTAAAGATTTTATTTATTTATTCATGAGAGACACACACAGAGAGAGGCAGGGACCCAGGCAGAGGGAGAAGCAGGCTCCATGCAGGGAGCCCAACGTGGGACTCGATCCTGGGTCTCTCAGATCGCGCCCTGGGCTGAAGGCGGTGCTAAACCTCTGAGCCACCCGGGCTGCCCAATACCCCACTTCCATTAAGGACAGATCACCCAGATGGAAAATCAATAAGGAAGCATTGGCTTTCAATGACATGGCAGACTAGATGGATTTAACAGATATATAAAGAACATTCCATCTAAAAGCAAGAGAATGTACATTCTTCTCAACTATACATAGAGTATATATTTTAAAAGATTTTATTTATTTTTTTAAAAATATTTTATTTAAAAAATATTTTATTTATTTACTCATGAGACACACACACAAAGAGGCAAAGACACAGGCAGAGGGAGAAGTAGGCTCCATGCAGGGAGCCCAACGTGGGACTCGATCCCATGTCTCCAGGATCACGCCCTGAGATTAAGGCAGCGCTAAACAGCTGAGCCACCTGGGCTGCCCAGAATATTCTTTTTTAAAAAAGATTTTATTTATTTAAGAGAGAGAGAGCATGAGTAGGGGGAAGGGTAGAGGGAGAGGGACATGCAGAGTCCCTACTGAGCAAGGAGCCTGACTTGGGGTGCCCTCCCAGAACCCCAAGATCATAACCTGAGCTGAAGTCATATGCTTAACCATCTGAACCACCCAGGTACCCCAGAATACTCTATGATAGACCACATGGTTGGCACAAACGAGTCTTTTTTTTTTTTTCAAACGAGTCTTAATAAACTTGAAAAGACTGAACTCATATGAAGCGTGTTTTCACAATGGTATGAATCTAGAAATTAACAAACACACGGAGGTTCAACAGCATGCTACTGAACAACCAATGAGTCAAAAAAGAAATCAACAGAGAAAGAAAAAAATACGTTGAAGGGTTTCTGAGTGACACAGATGGTTAAGCATCTGACTCTTGGTTTTGGCTCAGATTGTGATCTCAGAGTCATGATCCAGCCCTGCGTGGGGCTCCATGCTTAGCACAGTGTCTGCTTGGATTTCTCTCTCCCTCTCCCTCTGCCCTCCCCCCATGTATCTTTTCTCTCTCTCAAATAAATAAATCCTTTTTAAAAATACCTTGAGACAAATAAAAATGGAAACATAATATACCAAAACTTAGGAGATGTAGCAGAAACAGTTCTAAGAGGGAAGTTCATAGCAATAAAGGCTTACCTCAAGAAACAAGAAAATATCAAATAAACAATCTAACTTTACACCACAAGGAACTAGAAAAACAAGAACAAATGGAGCCCTATGTTAGTAGAAGAAAGGAAATAATGAAGGTAAGAGTGGAAATAAATGAAATAGGGACTAAAAAGACAATGGAAAAGATCAATGAAAAGATGAACAAAACTGACACGCCTTTAGCTAGACGCACGAAAAAACTCACGAGAAAATAAGAGACTCAAATCAATAGAATCATAAATGAAAGAGGAGACTTACAACTGATACCACAGAAATACAAAGGATCATGAGATGACTATGGACAATTATATGCCAACGAATCAGACAACCTGGAAGAAATGAATAAGTTCCTAGAAACATGTAACCTACTAAGACTGAATCATGAAGAAATAAAAAAGTCTGAACAGGCTGATTACAGATTAAATCAGTAATCAAAAACTTCTCCGTAGGGACACCCAGGTGGCTCAGTGGTTGAGCATCTGCCTTTGGCTCAGGGCGTGATCCCGGAGTTCCGAGATCAAGGTCCCTGCATGGAGCCTGCTTCTCCCTCTGCCTGTGTCTCTGCCTCTCTTTCTGTGTCTCTCAAGAATAAAGAAATAAAATCTTAAAAAAGAAAAAAAGAAAAGGGCATAGTAATACTGTCACTATTTACAGATGATGTGATATTAAATACATAAGGGCAGCCCCGGTGGCGCAGCGGTTTAGCGCCGCCTGCAGCCCTGGGTGTGATCCTGGAGACCCAGGATCGAGTCCCCACATCGGGCTTTCTGCATGGAGCCTGTTTCTCCCTCTGCCTGTGTCTCTGCCTCTCTCTTCGCTCTCTCTGAATGAATAAATAAAATAAATCTTTAAAATAAAATAAAATAAAATAAAATAAAACCCTAAAGACTCCACCAAAAACAAAAACAAAAAATTATTAGAACTGATCAATAATTTGGTAAAGTTGCAGAATATAAAATTAATATACAGAAATTTGTTGCATTTCTATATGCTATTAATGAAATAGCAGAAAGAGAAATTAAGGGGTGCCTGGGTGGCTCAGTTGGTTAAGCATCTGGCTCTTGATTTCAGTTCAGATCATGATCATGGGGTTGTGAGATCAAGCCCTACTGGGCTCCACACTAGACATGGAGCCTGCTTAAGATTCTCTTTCTCCCTTTCCCTCTGCCCCTCTCCCACCCACCCACATTCATGTGCTCTCCTTCTCTCTCTCTAAAAAAAAAGAGAGGGCGGCCCGAGTGGCTCAGCAGTTTAGCACCACCTTCAGCCCAGGGCCTGATCCTGGAGACCTGGGATCGAGTCCCACATCGGGCTCCCTGCATGGGGCCTGCGTCTCCCTCTGCCTGTGTCTCTGCCCCTTCTCTCTGTCTCTGTCTCAATTATAAATAAATAAATAAATAAATAAATAAATAAATAAATAAATAAAATCTTTTAAAAATTTTAAAAAAGAGTGAGAAATTAAGAACTCAATCTCATTTACCATTGCTTCAAAAACAATAATGGGAGTGTTCTTGGCTGGCTCAGTTGGTAGAGCAAGTGACCTTTGATCTCGGGGTTGTTGAGTTTGAGCACCACGTTGGGTGTAGAGCTTACATAAATAAACAAAAACAATAAAATACCTAGCAATAAATTTAATCAAGAAGATGAAAGACACATCCACTGGAAACTGTTTGTCAAAACATTGATAAAAAAAAAAATTGAAAAAGACCTGAGGCACCTAGGTGTCTCAGTCAGTTAAGCATCTGTCTTCAGCTCAGATCATGATCCTTGGGTCCTGGGATCGAGCTCCATATCAGGCTCCCCGCTCAGTGGGGAGCCTGCTTCTCCCTCAGCCCCTCCTCCTTTT